TATTATTGATAGTTATGTTGATATTTCGTTGTGCTATGGCTTTATTGTAAACTGTTTTTATATGTTGTACACTGCCGTGAGTCGCCCTAGGGCTGACAACGGCGGTCAACAAATGCAGTAAATAAATAAATAATAAAAATACTAGGACTTTTATCTATTTTCATATTCATTATAGTTTCTATTTCTCTAAATACTTTCTCCCAAAAATTATTTACATATTTACATTGCCACCACATGTGTATATATGTTCCTGGTTCTTGACACCCTCTCCAACAATTTATTGAGTTATTTTTATTCATATATGCTATTCTTACCGGTGTCAAGTTCCACTTCCATATTAACTTGTAATAATTTTCTTTAACTCATATTGATAAATTTTTTAAATGTCTTTGTCCCCATAACTGTTGCCACTCTGTTTCACTTATTTTCATCCCTAAATCCTCTTCCCAAATCTCCTTAAGGGTACACTTTTTTATTTTTTCATCCTTCATTTCAATTAGTATCTTATACATTTTGCTAATTATACCTCTCAAGTTTTCATGTTCTTCTACAGCCCTTCCCTTCTGTATTATTTGTTCGAATTGATTGAGTTGGCTTCCATTTCTATTATTTTTTTTTCCAGTTTATTAACCATTGTTCTAATTGTATACAATGAAACCATGACAATTGTATTACTAATGAAGCACAATTGCTGTTGCTTTAAGTATCCGTTTCTCTGGGCATCAGAGAAGAAATAGATATCCTGGAGAGTTCCTAGGCAAAACCAGAGTCATCAGTCTTGCAGGTAAACATAGAGGTTCAAGTGGACTCACATGCAGGGACTCTGCCAATGTCACCAAGTGACTTACTGGTTTTATCTTACAGCCAGGGGCGGCTCGTCCATTATGCGAGGTAAGCGTTCGCAGAACACTTTTTTTGCCAGGGGCGCAGAGGTGCCTCTGTAAATGCCCCTGGACTGCCACTTGAGGAGCGCCCCCTCAGCTCACAACAGCCCTAGCAGTACGGGGGGAGCCTCA